AATTAGGGATGCACCGATACTTGTATCGGTGCCGATTCCGAATATTTGGGCAAGTACTCGTACTCGCCCATCTCCTAAGATTCCATTGTGTGAATCTTATGTAAAAAAACGTATGTAAATAGACCCCTTGTGCAGGATCATATGTTAAATATTTTATTCTCCAAATAAGTTGCTTTAATTCCAATAAACACTGTAAAACTGCCACATAACCCCATTATGCATTTAGAAAATACTGCAGTCTTTCCTGTCGGTAATTGTTTCAACCACTTGTTGACCGGGGGGTTTACACCCCTTTCCTGGCCAGGCCATTTTTCAGTGTTCAGCGCTGCTGTAATTTGACTGACATTTATTCTGCCATGCAACTCTGTACTGAAATGAATTTTATGCCATCTTTTGGGGACACACAGCTTTCGTTTGGTGATATTTAATCACCACTGGGGGTTTTTATTTTTTACTATAAAAGGAAAAAACTACAAAAGTTTGAAACAAAAACCTGTTTTTCCTTTTTGTAATGTTATAAAACATTTATTAATATATTAAATAAATCCGCGCTAATTGAGAAAAAAGTAAACAATGCCGAAAGTATCCTGGATCTAGGGTTAAAAAGCTGCTAGACAGAGGTTTAGGTTGGGACCTCACAGGAGTAACATCAAAAGAGGAAAAACGAAGAAGAAAAAAATAAATAAACCTCCTGACTGTTTCAGAGGCAGAGACAATCAGTTCAAAATGTTTAAGATCCTCCCAAATTCGGCTCTAGGCAACCTTCACGTCCGCAGAAAATATAAAACAGCTCCCTTCCGGGGCTAGATGAGACCAGGTTTTATCCCTTGAGGAGACGGGAGCTGTTTTATATTTTCTGCGGGCCGGCCGCTTCAATTTTATATGCAAGTTTCTACTTATTATTTTATTCAATAAATCTTTTTACCACCTCATGGAGATCATGTAAACGGAACTCTGATCGGGTCCGGACAACAAACGGCTGAAGGACGTGAAGGTTGCCTAGAGCCGAATTTGGGAGGATCTTAAACATTTTCAACTGATTGTCTCTGCCTCTGAAACACTCGGGAGGTTTATTTATTCATCTTTTGGGATTTTATCCAGACTATCAGGATAGCCACTTACCACTAGCTGAACTACTGGGGAGTGCACAACCCCAGACACGTGAAATCGGGAAATCTCTTTTTTTTTTTTTTCTTCGTTTTTTCCTCTTTTTGATGTTACTGTTAAGATGGATTTGATATTTGTTTTCACTTATAAGAGTTAAGCATTTAGTTGCAAGTTTAAAACGGTGCTTTTTCTTTTGTTACACTTATTCATTTATACAAGTGCACGTTTTAACACCAGCACATCATTTTTTTAGTATTTATCCAGTCACTTTCCAGTGACTGGTATAGGTGCATCCCTAAAATATATAGTGTGGTTTTCTCAAATTTGATTGCAAAAGTGGAGTTACACTTTAAGCTGGGAATACTCAGATTTCTTTTTTTTAGTTTTAGCATTCGAGCAATTGGAAAAAAAATCTAACCGATTCCCCCATCCGTGCTAAACTGACAATCTGTCTGAATACCTGAACAGTGCCTGCATTTAACTGGATACAATAGCTGTTCAGCCAACAGTTTTCTGCCTGGCTCCATCTTGTTTCTTTAGTGGTCTCTACAGTTGCTCATTATCAACAGTACTCTAATTGTAACTAGACTGGATTGTTTTTAATTTGCTTTGTTTTTTGTTTTAATAGTCTGCACTGGATTGGTGGCCCAAGATTGATGCTGTGTATTGCTACTCAGGAGAGCTCCGCAGCATGTTTGCTGAAACGCTCAAAATCGTCATGCAGTTACATACAGCAATCCGCCTGACGCCGGTAAAGTTTGGTATCTGATGCTGTGTGCATATTCTTCAGTCATTGCATATTCTGTGTCCATCTAGTATGTTTTCTCCACATCTAGAAAACAATTTAGAAAAAAGTCTGTTTCTATAGCAACAGAGACCACCTTCATGCATTTAAGAATTTTCTCCATTTCTTAGTGATTTCATTTGGCTTGAAATGTTCATAAGCCCTCAAACATTTTTTGTTTAAAAATGTGCGTCTAAAGGTAACCCTCAATGCCTTTCAGAAGCTTCTGTGCTTGGCCACAGCTCATTTTAATGAACATCCTAGTTATATTTCCAGGCTCTATAATTACAAATTTACACTTTTTGTTAAACCAATTATTGATACCATTTTGTTTGGCTAGCAATTGGCAAGTTCATAGTATCAGCATTAAAGTGAAAAATGTATATAAAATCTTAGGCGAACGCTTTTGTATAAGGCGATTGTCATTGATTGGTGGTGCTTTGTCTTCTGCTTACTTTTTGTTTTTTTTATTGGCTGCTGTCGGTCACATGATCAGATGCCAACCAGTCACTGTTTTGCATGGCAGTGGGCTTCTGTTGCTGTAAGTATGACACATTGTAACTACCACAGAAAAGGCTTCGAGCTTCGGGCTTTCTTGGCTTTTCTGTGTCTAGTTACCTCTGTAGTCACCTCATTTCATTCTGGATGCAATAGGCAGCATGTCTCAATTATTAGTAGTTTCACATAGCCATGTGTAGCTAAATGGAGTAAATATCGGCATACTTTAGTTTTTTCCCCCACGTTTTATTCCTTGTCAGAATGTTACTTTTTTTTTGTCACTGACTCATGTGTGTAATTGGTCATCAGTATTTCCTGATCTCATTTGTCTTGATTTCTGTCAGCTGTTTTTAAATTGACACTAAACTCAGGAGTTAAATATTAAATATACATTCAAGTACCTTAACTACTAACAAAAATGTGCCTTATTTGTGTATCACTCGGCTGTAGATCCTCCAAGTCATCTCTGAATTGGTGCTGACACTGTCCTTCCTTCTGGAGAGTGGCTACTTTTGTTCCCCGTGGTCCATGTGTATGTTGTAAAGTAGCCACTGCTCCAAGATTACTCCCATGATGGATTACAATCTCAACACAAATTAGTAAACTAAACGTGAAATTGTAGTCCATCAGGGGAGTGCTCTTAGAGCGTTGACTACTTTGCAACACACACAGGGTCCATGGGGAACAAAAGTAGCCACCCTCCAGAAGGAAGGACAGTGTCGGCACCAATTCAGAGATGATTTGAGGATCTACAGCCGAGTGATACACAAAAAAGATATTATAAAGATATTAATTTTTAAGGTGCTTTAATGCATTTTTAAAATTTAACTCATGAGTTTAGTGTCAATTTAAGTGTCCAGGATCTATGTACATGATATTTTGGCATGGCAGCCAACAAGGCCAGGATCACACCTGGGCAGTCGTGCAGGAAACCGCGTGGATGGCCGCAAGGTCACGGAATTGTGCACCAACGCAGATCACGCTGGTGGTGCATTTTTCTAATGACACCCCGGTCGCGCCAGGCAGTTTGCGCTGTTTCCCCTCCGTGATTCTGGACATGGAATTACGCACAATCGCGGTTGAATAAACTGCACTGTGCGTGTGAGAAAATGGTGCATGTACCTTTTTTCAGCAATTGCCGCACGGATGTAACCCCATTGAAATGAAGGGGGCCGCGCGGCAACCACACATGATTCCGCGGTCCCGGGACGTGCATCACGGGATCGCTCAAGTCTGCACCAGCCCTGAATTTTTGTGATTTTATGATCAGTGTACATTTATGAATAGGTAGGAGGATCTAGTTGCAATGTTCAATGCAGACAGTTTTTATAGAAATCAGCCAGTTTCTATAATTCAGAAGAAACAAAGAACCTGGGCATTAGCTCCAAAAATGAGCCCTAGCATGTACCAGAAGCATTTCTTACTAATTGTGAAATTCTGTTCAGCAGGGAGAATCTAAGGACCACTGGAAACTGGGGTGCAGTTAACTTCTTTTTTTATTCTTTTTAAAATCCCCACACTTTTTATGGCCACTGCCTTCGCTCTCGCCCATGTATTATATGTGCTTGTTTCTGGAACTTTTGTATTAAGAAATGCCTTGAATTTTCATTAAGTATATATATTGTTTGGATAGGCTTTTTAAATATTGTATGTTTAACTTTTCAATTGTGTTTTACGTTGTCCTGTGTAGGGCATAGCAACGGTTTTACTCTGTTGCTGCCTCGTAGCTGCTTATATAAGCTTTTATTTTGCTCTGCTCTCTGTTCTAAGCTTCAATGGAGCTAGGAACGCCTTGCATTTTTGCTGCATTGGAGGAGCATGTGCGTTATGTGATCTGACTTACAGGGCATCGGTAGCTTTTGATTTCCACCTGAGCTGAGGGGGTGGATGATGTTTGGGCTGTTTATTCACCATGAAAGATAGGAATAATTGAGGTCTTTTCCCATAAGACGCTAACAGCAGTAAACTTCAACTTTTCTAATTGGCCTTCATATAAAAATGTTTGGCAATACTTGAGGGGTTAATATAGACACAGCCTACAGGTCTGTAAGACGATTTATATTTTGTGTTACAGGTAGTTATATAGTGCTGAAAAATGATGCAACGCTTTACATGTAGTACATTGGCTAGTGCCTGCCCTCATCTATATTATAGTTTGTGAATGAATGTACCACTGATGAAAAAAAATCTACAACATATTCTAATAGGAATTTTTTTTTGCTTGGAATTCCTTGGAAAATTCCATCGTAATCAGTGTTTTGTGTTGGTTGTACTGATTCGGACATCTCCTTTTTAATGAGCAGAACAGTGTTAAAGATGCCTGGACCAAATAGAATGCAGTTGCTAATGGTAAAATAGTTTTTCCTGGCAAGCAAAACCTGTATTTAGATTGTCATTTCAAGGGACAAGTAATGATGTATCCAACCCTGACTTATTGCAGTTATAGGTGGAGTTTTGTCATATTAGTCATCTGCTAACTCCTTATACCCCCTATCTCTAAAGCTGGTCATACACTATGCGATTTTTGGCCAGTTCTTGATAAACCAGATGAAATTTGCACAGTTTGTGCCCATGTCCGCACCCTTCCACCTGGGAGAACGAAGGAACCAGTTGGAAAATCTTTTGCTGAACAGAGCTTGCAGCCAATCAGCAGCAAGCACTGTTTGGGTATTGGCCTCTGTCAGAATGCAGTGGAAACAGTAGGGCATTCCTCCATCCATGTTGGAGGAATTTGGCTGAGCGAAAAAATAGTACAGTATATAGCCAGCTTTAGGCACTACTTTGATGAGGTCTCCGTGTCACAGTTCCTGGCACGCTTTCGGTCTGCCTTGTGGTATTACCATTCATTCTGCTGCATTCTTCGTTGTTTAAAAAAACTGAAAATCCAGCAGGCTTAGTAGAACTGTCTTGTAAAGTGTGTAGTCATGTACACTTGTGTGCACAGACATTGAACTCGCTAGTATTTGAAATATTGGTCTTTGATAAAGTCTGAAATATCAGCTTTTGGTGGATACCCTTTTTTCAGAAGGAGATGGTGTATTTCTACAGGTTTTTGCATTTAGACTTTCTTTTTTTTT